TTGTTACTATAGTCTTCCTGAAGCTGTCTAAAGTCTCTTGTCTTGGCCTCTAGTTGTTCTTTTAGAGATTTTTGGCCCTTCCTAAGGTTATAGGCTTCATACCTAAGGTCCTCATTGTCTCTACGTAATATATCAATTTGATCACGAAGAAGTTTAACAGTATCCATACAATTTTGAGAACAATAAACTTCACTGACCTCTTTTGTTTCAGGAGTGGTGGAGACCATAAAAGCAAACTGCAGCTGCATTATCTCCGCTTCAGCATATTTATCAGGGAGCTCACTTATATGCGCCAGATTTGCAGTCTCATGCCCTGTAATGTTCAACGCCTGAATCTGGTCCTCCCAATCAAAAGTTTGAGCCACCATTACCAGGTTTGCAGTTTCATTGTTGGTGGCAGCGTCCTATCAGGATTCTCCCTTCTATCCGGCTTTGGGCAATCACGAGCAAAGTGACCTGGCTCGTGACAATTAAAACACCTAAGCTTACCTCTGCTGAACCCTACCTTCTTGTCCCTATTCATACTCCAATTGTTCTTCCCTGTCTTCTTAGCAAACTGCTTAGCCCTAAACACAACCATTGCAATTTGCCAGGTGATATCCATCTCTTCCACATCTTCTGGATGAATTTGATCAAGATCTGCGAATGAGATTTGAGGAGGTAAGTCTCCTGCCAAGAAAGCATTATAACAGTTCACAAGGCCAGAAGTTAATGCCATGTTTTCTTTAGCTTCCTTGGGAGTTGAAATTGTGGCAGGAGCTTTTGAGTTTGATCCTGAAGAACTTGAGGAAGTTGGATGTTGATAATGCATAGGAGAATGAGTTTGTGGAACAGAGAATGATGAAAAAGCATTGTTTGACGAGATTCCCAGGTTTGCTGTGGAGTAGGAATTCACGTGATTTATCTCACGCTGCTTATCATCCAAATCACAGGCCTTGATGATAGCCATAATCTCAGCAAGAGAGAGCCTGTGAAGATCCTTGGTCTTCTTAATGACAGAAACATTCATGTCCCAGGATTTGGGAATAGAGTTTAACAACTTCTTGTTTATCTCAGAGCGGGATACTGAGATTCATGCAGTACTCATTTCAGTAGTGAGAGTGATGAATTGCTGCAGTTGGGCTTCAAGAGTCTCCCTAAGGACGTGGTTGAACATACTGAACCTTTGGCGGAGCAGATCCTGCCTGCTCTGTTTCATATCATCGTTTCCCTCATAAACTTCTATAAAGGCTTCCCAAAGAACCTTTGCAGAATCATATTCCCTGAATCCTTGAGCGATGTTAGGGGACAATGCCATGGTCAAAGTTGCAAGCGCCTTTTCTTGTTCCTCAATCTTCTCAAAGTCCGCATCAGTGTAATTCTCCACAGATTTGTCAATTACTTTACCATTTTACAGTGTTTTGGTAATTCTAACCGGACCTCTAAGGATGCTTCTCCATATCTTAAAATATTTCATCTTAATGTACTTTTCAATCCTGTACTTCCATTTTGGAAACCCATCAGCTGATAAAAGACGTGGAATTCTTGTAGTGGTTCCCATAATTGAATTCAGTTCTTGATGTACGGCATTGTGTTGAGGTTCCATTTTAATTGATTAAAATTAAATATGTCCAAAAAGTCAAGGAATTTCACACCGAAAACTCAGAAAGTCAACTGATGAGGTTGACCAAAAACAGTAGATTTCGGCCGAAAACAATGACCGAGAACTCTAGTGTGCCGCCGAAGACTCTTTTAAACCTAACCGAGAATAGGAGACGTGCCACCGAAAACACCCAGTTCCATTAAAAACGACGATTTCAAACAGAATTTTGATTCTCGATGAACACCAAGAACACAGCAGCAACAATGAACGATTTCTAATAACAAACTTAAAGAATTTTCGATTAAAAGCTTAAAGAATTAAAACAGCCAAATTTGATCTTGATGTTCTTGAACACGGTTGACACTAGATTGGCTCTGATACCAATTGTAAGTCCCAAAAGCATGAACCAACTAGTAATCGTCGAAATCACTAAGCAAGGGCGGAATCAATGCAAAGTAAATCAAGAACAAACGCGTAATCAACCCAATTGACACAATTATATTGATGAAATCGTCTAGTACAATGGAGATCTTCACAATGGTTGGCCTGATATGAAAAAAAAAAAAAATCAGCCATATAAGTCTCCTTATATAGGGAACACAATTATACAAGGAAACCCTAAACCCAACACGCCTAAGGACCGAAATCAAAACTGATTTCGGTCCAACCCTAACCGAAAACCCATATTAAGACTCAATAAATGAATAACAAAGTCTAACATGTACATGCCTAGCACAAACCAACAAGGTATGACCTAACAATAATCAAATGACGAACAAAATCCAAAAATAAATAAATAAATAAGGCTTTTAGTCATTTATGACCGAAAACAAGAATTCAAAGATGTAATTGATATATTTTTTCCATAATTAAATTGTTAGAAATACCGAATTACTATTCCAAATTGAGTTCTTTACATTCCTTCCGCTCCAAGTTGCATTTCCCTACGTCCAAAGTCGAGATCTATAGTAGGAATAACCTAGGGGTTGTATTAATAGGCTCAACAAACCAGCCATACAAGATACTTGGTGGACTTGACCGAGTCAAGTTTTAGCCTTGGAGCGACTTGACCGGGTTGTCTTCTGTTTCCCAAAAGGTGTCTTTTTTACGGACTCGGCCGAGTCAGCCCATAGAGAAAGCATGACCTAATCATGGAATCTCTTGGAAATGTTTGAATCTTCGAAATTTTCAACTTTTTTAGTTTTGTTCCGATCTTCACAAAATTTGACTAGTAGGTTAGAATCCTCCAAAGGACGCTCCGACCTTCAAAACACATGAAAAATCAACAAAAAAATGTGCAAGTAAGGGGTTCCACAAATCCATATAGAAGTTCTGAAATAGCTAAATTGTAGGAGTTATAATCACCCAATGCAATACACATGCATGAAATAAACAAACCTAAAAATGCATCTAACACCCACCACAAACTTTTGATTTATAGTATAAAAAACAACGCAAAAATGAGCAAAATACCCCCAAAATATAGTCGTTAGAATGGTACATTTGTAAAGTATAAATAAATAAAATAATGATAGAAGAGACTTCTACTTGTTTATAAGGAAGAGAAAAGAAATGAAAATGAATAAATAATCACAAACGACACTAAAAAATAACAAATACATCTTCGAATAAATTTCACCAATTGTAGTCTATTTCAACATGGCTAAACCCGCAAAAAACATTAAAAAATCTCGCTTAAAGCCAAGACCTATTATTCGAATTTAAGTTCGCAAAGGCATGCAGGCCGCTGATCAGGATGCATGGTTATTGCGCATAGAGATAGAGCTGCACAAACATCGGATTTAAACAAGTCTCGATTAAAAAAATGATTTTTTTTTAAACTGGTTTCGGTTTAAAACGGTTCGGGTTTTTTTAGGTGAAATTTTGTTAAAATTTAGTTTTTTTTTTTTAAGAAAACCGTTTTCAAATTTTAAAATAACCAACTCCTAACCATCGGTTTGATTTTCTTAAACCTAGTTCTCAACAACACAAGTTTGGTTTTTCCTATAGATTTAAAAATTAAAAATATATATATTAAAAAAAAAAAAAAGTTTCATAATGTGCATCTCTAATTGTGGAGTTTTGTACATCAGGGTGGTAAAATTGGTTTTAGTTGTGATCCCCACTTGATTTATATTAGAAAAAAACAAATTTTGTTTTTGGCCCACTCGATTTCTCGCTTTTCTATGGGTTTGTTCATTGTTGGAGTCCACTTCATCTTTTGAACCACACCTGCGGCCTGCTACCTTTACTTCCATTTTTAGTTTAAATTAACTTATTATAGAACAACATTAAAGTTTTTAAAACTGCTAGAAACCCAATTTTTATATCTCCAATTCAAGTTCAAAAAGTACCAAATAATTTACATACTTACCAGACATGGGTGATGAATCCTTATGGGTTTTCTGCTTTTTATCCATTTTCTTTTTCCATTCTCATGATTTACTACTACACATATAAGTTATGGTATGTTTTAAGCATACTTAACCAGGTATGGCGTCAAACCGGTCAATGCTTTCTTTCTTCACACTTGTAGCTCATCATACATATTAAAAAAAAATGTAAGTAGTTTTAAAAGATTGATACAATATGACTTGTCCCAATAAATCTAGACTAGGCCTGTTTCTTGATGATCAAGTTTGATTTTTTTTTTATTCTATAGCGAAAAATGAAACTTAGGCTATAAAATTAAAATCAACATGTTAAAGATGGTTTGGATAGTTTGTTTAATAGGTGTCTAATAAACTCCTTTGTCCAAAATGTTACAATATTCTTCAATATAAATATGTTCCATATGTTGTAACGACATATTTAAAGTGCCATTAATAATTAGGGATGAGCATAACTACTCGACTTTTACTAAATGTGATACAACCTAAAAAATTTCAGTTTTTGACTTTAGAAAAACAAAGCTATCAATTTTTTCGTGTTTAGTTTTTTGATTTTATTTCTATTTTTAGGTTTATTCATAAACCATGATGTAATTAACAAAAAGAAATAATAATAATAATAATAACGACGCAAATGCATGTACATTAATTTAATTTTGAATGAAACCCGCCGCATGTCAATTAGTTTAATTATTCTCTGAGTTGATCAATTTAGCTTATACATAAATGACATCGTGTTATGGCATTTTGTTCGGTTTGATTTTTAAAATTTTATATTTAAACTACAACCGAGCCTAAAAATCGAATTTATATAAACCAAAAATCAAATCGTAGACTTTTCAAAACGGTTCTTTTTTTTTTTTTTTTTTGCACGTCTATTAATTATCATCTTTTAAAAGACAAACCTTATCATCTTTTAAAAGACAAACATTATCAATAAGCCTTTTATACCCAGTTTAAAAATTGCTTTTTTGGTAATAGTCGCCCCACCTTGTAATTTGAGTTCTATTAATTATCATCTCAAAGCGCTATAAGTTTGATTGCAGTAAATGAAGATGACACTTAAAGAACTCAATTACCTTTTTCTATAGCAAGTTCCATAAACAAATCAAAAATCAAAAATCAAAAACAAAACTAGAGAAACCGACTCTTATTAAGTTTTTTATTATTTGAATGCTTAAACTAAGTAAGCTGATGCAGATATATCCCACCTTGTAATTTGACTTCAAATCTTGCACAATACAATACCTACATAAAATATGAATATGTTTTAGAAGATCACAAGAACGCATCCCTGAGTATAATTGATTTATGCAATTTTGGTCCAACTGTTTTCTTTTATTTAAAGCTACAGATATTTTCTTTTTTGAAAAATGGTTAGGTTAGTTAATTATGTGAAATACCTCAAATCATTATGTTGATGTTCATCGAATCCTAGACTGCAGAACCTTCCGGAACTTCTGTACTTGGTCAGAAAGGTTGACTTGTTGACTTGACGATATACTTTGACTGTTGACCTTTTTTCTCCCCTTACGCACCATCGAGTCTTCTGTATCTAAAACATAAGATATCTGCCACAGACAACCCTCACAAGTCAACAATCCAAAAAAATTAAAAATTAAAAATTAAAAAATTAAAAAGGTTTACTTTATATGTGATGCAATTTATCTTGCATTCCATTCTGTTTAATATTCGAAGACCCTCCATTGCATGCATCATTGCTAAATCTTCATCTTCACAAGCATATTTTCTTTTGCTTCTGCATTGACAAGATTAATTAGAGTATTTAGTATTTCTTTTTATTTTTATTTTACTCAATAAATTATCGATATTTTAATTTACCTCTTTAGAAATATCCCGGGCTTCTTTTTCTCTTGAGTGGTTGGAACTGGAAAGGGTGTAAAATTTGGGTCGATTGAAAAAGCTGGTGGTTCTGATGTCTCACATACAGTGTCCATTACCCAAATTGCTAATTGGGTTTGTTTATTTGTTTCTGGTATAAGTGACTGAAAATAAACAAAATTTGTTGGGGTAAAACTAGAAAAAAGATAAAAAAGGAAGAGTAAGTAGTAAGTAGTAAGTAGTAGTTACATGCTCAAATCTATAAATGTTGTCATCATTAACAATAACTCTGGCATTTGCATTATAAAGTTCATCTATGAATCTTTCAGGTTTTCTCATATTTTCATATGCATAGAGATGGAGAAGCTTGTTGTCAACTTCATCACCCGCGATTGCTAGCACCTGTGGAGGGTATTATGGGCATAAAATTCAGAGAATGATGGTTTTAAATTAAATTAAATTAGTATAAATAGAAAAGTGACCTGTTTAGAAAGCTTGTAGATTAGCTTGTCTAATGTGAAGACAGGGAATGCCCAAGTGCCAAGAACAGTTCGACATTCATCTTCATATTTTGCACTATCAATACCACCTCCTAGAAAATTGTAAAGTAAATCCAAGAATCTGAAACCAAAAAAAAAAAAAAAATTAAAATAATTATTGAGCAACAATAATTGAGTGAATTATAGAGCTATTTTAGAGTAGCCATGACACCTAGCATATGAATCATTAGGTGTCTTGTCACTTGAACCCCTCCATTTATCATTAGCAGACTTTTCTTTTGCTTCCTCTAGTCTCAAGTACAACGTCTGTAAATTAAATTTAAAAAAAAAATTATATAAAAATCGGTAGTTTTTGTAACTTTGTATTTGGTAACAATGAGGGTCATACTTGATGGAGTCTGAAGAAAACATAGAAGGAATCACTTCCATAGAAAACCCGAGGACCATTTGTGTCAATACGCGATACTTCAGGGACGTACTTTGCAAGCGGCTTCACTGTATCCAAAAAAAGTTGTGAAAACGGTAGAAGGGTTTCATTTTCATCTCCTTCTTCACCTTCACTCTCGTCCTTGTCAGCATGATCTTCAGGGGACCCGTTCGCCACGTCAGCAGTTTCACTACCTGATCCATCACCATTCTCACTGTCACAAGAGGACCTATGTGCACTTTCCTCACCTTCAATTTCATCATCTTCTCGGAACCTATTATTAGTAGTAGTATTATTATTATTATTAGTCTCTCTAAATGCTGCAAAATTATCCTCTTCAAAATCTCCATTTGGGGATAATTCACCCTCTTCTTTCTCAACTTTATGGTGTCCATTAACACTTGTGGTGGTATTTACATTTTTGCCCTCACTTTGCCTTTTACTTGTTTTTGCAACTTCTTGATTGCCATTTGTGGATTGAGGTGGGCGAGGGGGGACATTAAACATGGGCTCCACAAAAGTAGTCCAGATCTTCATGACCTTATTGAATTGTTCAGGGGTAGAATTTTGTGGAATGTAATATTTCATGAGCTGATATAAGTCTTCATGGACATCCAAATCACAATACTTGAATTCTTGATGTGGTGTGCTGCTTTGTCTTTTCATAGTAAAATGCTGATAGATGTTTTCATTTCTAGACTTCTCTTCACTTATTTCCTTGATTTCTGCCAATAATGCTGCAATATAAAATAAAGAGTAAATTACAGTTTTGGTCTCTGAGTATAGTTTATTTTGCAATTTTAGTCCCAATAACTTTTTCTCGAAATTTTGGTGTTTATTTGAGGTTTTTGTTCCCTGAGTATAGCTGATTTTTGCAATCTTCGTCCCAAAAACATTACAAAAACCTCGAATAAGGACCATAACTGCAAGAATCAGCTATAATCAGGGACCAAATATGTAATTTACTATAAAATAAAACATGAATTATCAATTTTGGTCCCTGAGTATAGTAACCTCAAATAAGGACCAAAACTGCAAGAATCAGCTATACTCAGGGACCAAAAAACATAATTTACTGTAAAATGAAACATGAATTATCAGTTTTGGTCCCTGAGTATAATTTGTTTTTTCAATTTTAGTCCCAATAACTTTCTCTTGCAATTTTGGTGCTTATTTGAGGTTTTTGTAACGTTTTTGGTCCGAGTATAGCTGATTTCTGCAATTTTCGTCCCAAAAACATTACAAAAACCTCAAATAAGGACCAAAACTGCAAGAATGAGCTATACTCAAGGACCAAAAACGTAATTTACTGTAAAATGGAAAATGAATTATCAGACAGTTTTAGTTTACCTTTAGCACTCAAGCTCTTTGAATCCTGCTGTTTAAAATAGAAGCTGCGATGATCGAGTGACTTATGATAGTTTTTAGCATAAATTTCTGCCCAAACTTTATTAAAATCAGAGCGACACCGGGCCCACTCCTCTTGTTTCTGTTTCAAACGAGTTAACACCACTGGCAAAGCAAGAGATGCATTCTTCTTTAATACATCCATCACATCAAGTCCATTATCTCCATATAAACGTTCAATGCACCTCAAATTCAAAGCTGAGTAACAAAAAAAATATCATCAAGAAAAAAAAATTGAATTTCTATCAAGTTTATATAAGTTTCTCACATGTAAAATGATCTTCAACACGAACCACGCTTTCTGTTTTGATTGAATTATCATTAATTTTATCCAAAAGTTCTTCCACACGTTTGGCTGTTACATTCACTGATTCTAATAACATGTCCAATTCAAACCTGACATAAAAGGCATCCATGAAGATTTTACAGAAGGAAAATTAATAAACTTTTATTTATTAATTTTATCTATCTACCTGTCATCTTCACAACGAAATAAGCTTTCTTCATACTGGTTTTTACGCATGTGTTTAAAAGAGTAATCTTCGCTTCCAGATGTAACAGACACCCAATGATCATTCAACACCTCCTCACCTATTGTTGTTCTTTGACTTACTGAAGGAATTGGATACTGTATTGAAAACATCCATTGACAAATAATAAAAACCAATTATATAATAAAGTTGAAGATATAACTGAGTAAACGTACAAGATGTAAGAATTAACTACATTCTTTGGTAGAAGCCGATAACTTGGAGTGCAACGTTCACAGTCAGAAAGGTCAAGTTCATGAATTGGCTTTGCTTGATACTCATCCTTGCTTGGAAGAAAAGATGGCTTAGATTCAGATACATTTTTATCCTCATCATCTGCCCAAAAAAAAAAAGAAAAAAAGTTTATAATCTCAAATGCAAACAGATGCTTATAGTATGCAAATCAAAAAGAACTTTTTTTATTGATGATTACCAGTCCTCTCACTCCGGTCAATGAACCCGTTGACTTCTTCCATAAGATCTGGATGAGCTCCAAGTAGATTATTCACCTAAGGGAAAATAAATGTTTTGTTTAAAAACCAAATAATAATCTTAATGATGATTAAAAAAAAGGGGGGTGGGGGACACAACAATAGTTTACCAGAGATTGCAGCTGTGGTCGAGTGATATTTTCTGTGCAATAATGCACAATGCACTTCAAAAAAGCTTGATAATCATCTGAGTTGTGTAATCTTTCTTTCACCTTTTCACGAAGACAAATCATTTGATCACGCATATCTGTCCAATATTAACTTAAATTAGGTCAAGAAATGGAAAAATATAAATTGTTATAAAGAAGTTTTAATCTTGTTTTGAATTAGGAGATGATACCTTTATGAAATAGTTCAGTAACAGAGTCTTCAAGTGCATTAGTAGATTTACGTTTTTGGGCAACACGATTTGACCCATGATGATGATTACAATCTCTATCTTGTGAATGGTGTTCTCTTTCTTCCCTTTTCACTTTTTCTTTATCACCATGTCTCTTATGCTCCTTCTCAGGTTTTATAAACTTTTCCTCATGATGAGGATCCGCCATGTCAGCGCTGACCTCACGTTCAGCATGACAAGCAATACCTTTCTGCAAATTGTTTCACATTCAGAAGAAATATACACGCAAATTTTACATGAAAAGATGATGTATGAAATTGAGTAAAGATGAGTCAAGAAGGTTGGAAACTACCTTTTCAGAAGGTGGAAGTCTTATTCTGCCAATTGGTGAGCTCCTATCTTCAGGGTGAGGTTTATGGTTCCTACTGGAGTGAACATACTGATTGGATGTTGCTGCTGAAGAATCAGGTAAGAAATTGGTGAACTCCTTGAGAAGGTCTGGCTGGTTATGAAGAAGAGCAGCAACCTGAAGGAAAATGGTAAATGATTGAAGAAATTAAGAACCAAGATCTAAAATATGCAAACATACAGGAAGTGTAAAGTGAAGACAAATAAACAATAGTCTTAAATAGCAAACCTCTTGGTGGACCTCTTTAATGGGTTTGTTTTCCTTTCTGTACATATTCAAAATATCAAGAAAAGATTTGTACACACGATCGTCTCCTTGAAATCTCATCTGCAAGCAAATAGTAATACCATGTTAGATGAAGATTTCCAAAGGAAAGCTATTAGGCACAATCCTGTGATGTTATTATTACCTTAATTTTGTTTACAAATTGAATGGCTTCTTCAAACTCCACAGGCTTCTTAGCATGTGGCTCATCCTCTTCTGAGAGGGTGATTTCAAATCCCTTTGGGAGAAAAGTGTTGAAACCCAATATTAGTTTTCGGTGTCCTTTGAACAGTTCCTTCACCCTAGCTATGACCCCTGTGGTGTCAACCCTACATAAACATAATGATCATACAAGTATCCACATAATGAGAACACTGAAAGGTGGAGGAAGCAACAGTTTAGCCAAACCTTTGTGCTTTGAAATCTTTCATTATATCAAGAAACTCGGAATATTTCTCCTTTTTGTCAAGAAACATATCTTTGACATCCTTGAGATACATAAGGGCATCATTAGTTGTCAACTTTTGTCCACTCCCTCCATTCATCATTTGGGGCTGCCCAGACCTTCATTCCAGAAGATGAGATGAATAAAAATCAAACCATTCATTCAACAGACATCCCTCTCATATTTAACCCTAAACTTGAAGAATTAGATGCCATAAACATATCTTCAGGAATTAAGCATTGACAAAGATCTTACCTTTTTGTTTCAAACCTAAGTGATTACTTCAATTGTGTAGCGAAGTTCAAAGATATCTACTGATATTGACTATAAGAAATAATTACTGATCGAAACTTTTACCATTAAGAAATTAAATTTGAAAAACAAACTACAGACCACAATAATACTATCAAAAAGTACATCAGAAACCACCATAGAGACTTCATAATCAAACTTTCTTCCACACAATGTATATCTAAAGTCAAATAATGTAAAGCATAATCAAAATTTAAGACTTACGATTCTGAATTGATAGGCGGTTTGAGTTGAAAAGCACTCCCGGAAAAATCGTCGTCTCTAGACCTCTTCATCCCTGTAAAACATAACTCTTTCGAAATTCAGTCAATAATTAAACTTTCCTAAGCACTCATAATCCTTCAATTGACAATTAAAATCACCAAATTACCGATCTACGATCAACGCATATTAACAACAATTGACCCCTCTCTACAGATCACCATCAACAATTCCTCATTCTGTAAAACAAAATTTAGCATTAAACCTTGAATTCGAAGAAAAGCATCTAACAATGCGAACAATTACAAAATTAATCAACGATAAATAACCTCGCTGTAATCACCAAAAAGATCGTCTATTTTCTTCAACTTTACTTCAATTTCACCGTTGATACTTTCAAATTTTAGTCATACACATGTGTGTCTATCTACACTCTCTGGTCTCTGTGATTGTGTGTGTTATCAAACCACAAACTCTGTGATTGAATGCAGATACTGAATCTAAAAACCTGTAGATAGAATTTAGAGAGAGCTGGTTGTATGTATCTATAGGCTATACATATTATAAAAGGTGTATGTATATATTAACACACAGTTTAGCGTGTTTGTGCGTGTACCAGAGAAGAAAACGGGAGAAGAGAGCAAGGGTCTAAGACTGTAGAGATGGTCCTCTTGAAATCTTTTGTTATTGTGAACTGGGTGACCGGGAACCGATGATTGCCGGTTACTCGGTGCTGTGCTTAAGTGAATCTTAGGGCCAAGTGGACATGAACAAAGGGTAAAATTGTCTTTTAGAAAGAGAGGGTTTTATTGAAAAGTAATACAGGATCAAAAAGGATTTGGGGTTAAGTTCGGTGGGTTTGACCGAAGTCAAAAGGGTCACCTTTGATTTTGGTGAAGTTTGCGGATGAGTTACTTGTAGCGAGTACTAGGGTTTTGAATGTTTTTTCAGATGTTATAATTAAATGGTGGATAAATATAATGGTTCTGATACTTAATCTTGAATCTAAGACTATACTTAATCTTGAATCTAATATGGACCCGTCAAGTCCTCCACCCACCAACCAACCTTATGGATCGACCAACGTGGGTAAGGTGGTGCCCGATTTGCATGCAGATTAAACTGTTGTTGGGCCGAAGACATGATCTCCTCCGTTTTTCGGTGCATGAAGAGAGAAAGGAGAAAATCATGCATAAACTTTGGAGAAATTTTAACAATTAGTATCAAAATAGTTTACCATTTTCCGGTCACATTTGGCATGCCAAAAGCGCATTAGCCAAATGCTCCAGCCTTAACACAAAAGCTTCATTGTGTTCTTCAACGCGTCTTTCAGGTCATCAGTATTCAAGTCATATTTAACAATCTTCATCTTGCCTTAGTATACTCCAAGTTCCATAAACCAATAACTTCTTGTTTTTTTTCCATGTTCTCTAAGATTAATTAGTTGTTAATTTACATTCCTATATATTTGTAAGTTCCCTTTGGAGTGATATTAAGCATAAAATTGCTCTATACACGTCTCTCTCTTCTCTTGAATTTCTTAGTGGTTGACCATATCGCATATGATCTTTATCTATTTGTGTTTTCATTGATTCCTCGACATGCCTCCCAAACATGTGCCACCCACTCGAAGAATTTTTGACTCTAATGGTGGAAAACATCTCCAAGCTCATATCCTTTACCTACCTCAACATCGATAAATCTTAACCACTCAACCTACATCTCAATCCTAACTCGACATCATATAACTAGCAACCGCAATGCAATCATCTCCACGGAAGTCAAACCAGTGGCGGAACCATAAAATTTTACAGGGGTAGCAAAAAAAATCTCCGATAAATAATAAGATATTTTTATATTACGATTTCAATAAATATAACAAACTAGCATATTACATTTTAAAATTGACCTATCGTGAAGCATGGAGTAAAAGACTCAATAACAAGTTTTTTTTTTAATTATTGTAGCACCATAATGGTTTTCAACTTTCCACCAGCTTCTTCGTTAATTTACATATTGGGCTAATTGAATAGATTGGGCTACTAAATGGACTAATATTTATTAGGTAGATTAATTTATTTGGGCTAGTAGTTGCATATATTTTGGACATGGGGTGCACCATATATTTAAAAAAAAAATCTACTTTTTTAAAATTGTAAGGAGAAAACGAGGGGTAGCATATGATACCCCTACCAACCAAGTAGCTCTGTCTATGAGTCAAACTCGACATACAACCATCATCCTCCAAAAAACGACCTAAAAAGTACAAACTCAATCACAAATGTAACTCCCACATGACCCACCCACTACCATTGACAAACAAATGGCATCCTCATAAGTCATAATTATTGAAATCGATCCTCACAACGAGTAGATGATTATGGACCATTCATTGTGCTTGAATGCATTAGTAAATAGTAAGTTCGCTTATCGCATATATCTTCCATCAAACTTAATAATTCACTCGATCTTCCATGTGTCTCTTTTATGACCTTGTAAGTCCAATCCACGTCGTTGGCGCTACCACTCTCTAATGCCAACATCAATCATCACCCCGTCGAACAACCGAAAAGCATACCTAATAGTACTCACATATTGAAACAACATAGAGAAAAAATTTATCAAATGGAAATGTCAATACACCTCAGACCTGGGAAAACCAAGAGGATCATCACAAAAGTTGTCTTTGATATTGAGGACAAGCTCCCTCTCGAGATGGAGGGTATTGATACAAATCTGACTATTAGGTTAAGTCCCTCGCTCAACAACCTTATGGATCGACCCATAGAGGTTGGTCGACGCTCTGCTTGCTTTGCGGGTTAAACCACTACCTAGCCCAATACTTGGGGCATGTTCGACGCGGAACGTTTGAGAGCTTCTAACTTCTAGCTTCTAGCGTTTGGCAAAATGCTCCGTTGTGAACAGAAAGTCACGTTTGGCACTACAAGTTTCTAGCGTTTAGTTTAAACAAAACGCTTCAAATCCAAATGTTACTTCACGTAGCGTTTAACAAAACGCTACCAGCTACTTTTGCCCAACACACCATTGGTTTTCAGCATTTTTCCAATTTTCCAATTTTCCAATGCACAAAGAGAGAAAGAGAAAATAATCCAAAAACTTGGGAGAAATCTTAGCAACTATCATCAACAATGTAATTTACCATTTTCCTTGTGGATTTTCTTGTTCCCTAATTTTTCCTTAGTATCCTTTTGAATATAATGAATATGGTACAATCAAAATCTATACAAAATAAATAGTAAAATAAAAATATAGTGTTTGTTACCAGAACGAGAAAGCTTTCATACATCATCAAGGAGTTTTATTGAAAAATAATAGAACTCGTTACTAAATAAGTACTCATCCCTTTATATTTCGAAAACAATTATTTTTATATAAATTAAGTGAGTTGTTTATAATCATTATTCTTCGGTATAGCATAAATAAGATATTTATTTTAATTGATATGCAATAACATCTACTTACCATTTACCAAAGATAGCTACTTGACATTTCTTTTTACTGATACACCTAATAATCACAATATATCAACAAATATATTCCAAAAATAATAATAATTTCAAACAAATATATGTCACAAAAAATAGTATACAATTTTAAGTGATTATACTCGTTCATACTTCAACATAAAATCAAATTTTTGCACATTAGTTTAATTTAAATTAAACTAATCAACCAAACCACATTAGAATAGTTAATTTAAATTTTAAAATGCATAAGAAGTGATCACTATAATTCCGTTTAATTCAATTAAACTATTTCCTAAATCAACATAGAAACTTTCCATCTTAAAATTATTTCCATTTGTGAAATCGAATCCCGTTATGTGCTCAATCAAGAATCAAGATAGACATGTTTTCCTATATCAAGGATTATTTTTTCCTTTGTTGAACAACTAGTTTCCGATATCAAGGTCCAAGGAGAATTATTTCCTTTGTTGAACAACTAGACATACGGCTTTAAAGATCAGCAAAAATTGCATGTGCGAAAATGTTTATTTTAAATATAAATTTCTAAATTAAAAGAATTGGTTTTGTAATCTAGAAAGAGATGGCAGTATAACTTGTTGTCCTAATCCACTCATCATTTTTCAAAATGAAGACAACCATTAATCTCCAAATGTTGCGTCTAAGTCGTATCTAGGCTCAAAAAAAATTGACAAACTTTTTTTTTGAAAATTAAGTACATATATACACATTTGAATGTTCATATGTGTGCATGTATGCACATTTAGTGTTTTTGTAACCTCCAATTTTGGGATGTTTCAATATTCAGGAAGACGGACTTAATTTGACATGAGAATATCTCAGACTTTTAGGGTTGAAGTTTGGACCTTAGAGGAATGAGGTTTTGGGTTAAGAGTATAAGATTTTAGATATAAGGTTGATTTTGGGTTAGAAGGCAGTTTGGGCTTAAGCTGATTTGGGCCTTGCTAGACCAGGCCTATCATGACACAACACATAGGATGTCACAGTACGATTTTCGTTGCATCGCAAGCTCATGTGTTTAGGATTTACTTTGTATTTAAGGGCATGATCACTTGGAATTAGGTCATTCATCAGCTTCCAACTTCTCGAAACGTTCCTTACCCTAACCTCCATGCTTGAGTTTTGAGTGTTTAAGTCTCTTTTGATAAAGCTTGATGGTACAGGAAGTCTTTCTCGGTGCAAGAAAACTGGAACATCGTACAGGAACGGGTATGATCTTGTCGACGGGATCTATCTGGAGCGTGCTTATTTTATGAAGTCATTGTCTTGTCCAAATTATCGCAAAAGGTTGAAGTTTAAGAGAGCTCAAGAGAAGGCGAGAAAGGATGTTGAACGAGCACTTGCGGTTTTGAAAAAACGTTGGCATATTCTTAAATATCCCCCCCCCCTTATTTGGAGGAGAAGAAAATTAGTGATGTGATGTATACTTGTATCATATTGCATAATATGATTATTGAAGACGAAGGAAATGCAATATGTGAGTATAACGAAAACGAGATCGTTCCACCAATTTGATGTGATTTGGATCTTCATTTACATCGACTCATGCGCGAGCCAAAATTATTTCTTCCTCTTTGCTCCATATACGAACTATTTTGAAAGATGAAGAAGGTTAGAAGATGATAGAAAATATAAAAGGGTAGAAGAGTTGAATGATAAGGTTTGAATGTGGTGAAAAATGAAGAATTGTGTTGGTATTTATAGTAGATGATGGAAGGTTTAAAATTTGAAATTTTGAAAAAAAATAGCTATATTTTGAAAATGGATTTTTTTTTTAAATTGGGTATTTTTGGAGAGACTGTAGATGTAGTCTTCAAAAGAATGGACTTTACCATACAAAAAGGCTTAGCGGCACAACTTGTTGTCCGTTTACTTTCTCATTCATATGTACGATGATAACTAAAATTTATTGTCTTTAATATAAAAAAAAAAAGCAAACATATACACACATAACGGTTTCTTTCTCATCGTATACCTTCACCGAGTTTGGCCACCGAATTTGGCATGCCGAGTTGGTGGTGTCGTGTTTATCAATGCTAGCTCAGACATGCCGAGCCTTGCCATAGCCACCCCCCCTGCAATAATGTAAAGATACCGTGTGTAAACGGCTCTTTGGAGCCTATATAAAGGGCTTTGCCCTTAGTAAATAAAGCAGAGTGATTTGTGATTATAAGATTTGAGTTGTTCTCAATCTTCTTCTGTTGAAATAGCTCGTCTATTTCTGAATAGCAGAACCCTATCCAAACATATCCATATATTCATATAAACATATCAAACCCAGACAATCCATCCATCGTCAATCCATTCCGACGCATCATTCAGGTATATTCTTTCTTAATTTTATTAATTCCGCCATGTTTCCCCCATCCCCTCCCCTTAGAATTAGATCCTCTATGATTAAAACTATTTTTTATTTTTATTTTTTACACCAATTTTGATTTTGTGATATTTCTCTCAACCTAAGGAATAGGTTAATACTATTTTATTTGTTACAGTGTTTTTTTTAAAAGATTTTTACCATGAAAAACTTTAAAAACTTGATAACAAATCATGATTTTCGTAAAACTTGAACAATTATAGTACGAAGAACAATTTCACAATATGGAAAGTACATTTTGCAATTCTAAATTATTATGAATTTTGGTTTTTTAAAACACTCAG